TATCCTCACTACTCACAAACCATTACATCCTCACTGCTCACAAACCATGACATCCTCAGTCACAAACCATATCCTCACTGCTCACAAACCATGACATCCTCACTGCTCACAAACCATGACATCCTCACTGCTCACAAACCATGACATCCTCACTGCTCACAAACCATGACATCCTCACTGCTCACAAACCATATCCTCACTGCTCACAAACCATGACAACCTCACTGCTCACAAACCATGACATCCTCACTGCTCACAAACCATGACATCCTTACTGCTCACAAACCATATCCTCACTACTCACAAACCATGACATCCTCACTGCTCACAAAGCATGACATCCTCAGTCACAAACCATATCCTCACTGCTCACAAACCATGACATCCTCACTGCTCACAAACCATGACATCCTCACTGCTCACAAACCATGACATCCTCACTGCTCACAAACCATGACATCCTCACTGCTCACAAACCATGACATCCTCACTGTCACAAAACATGATATCCTCACTGCTCACAAACCATATCCTCACTGCTCACAAACCATGACATCCTCACTGCTCACAAACCATATCCTCACTGCTCACAAACCATGACATCCTCATTGCTCACAAACCATATCCTCACTGCTCACAAACCATGAAATCCTTACTGCTCACAAACCATGAAATCCTTACTGCTCGCAAACCATGACATCCTCACTGCTCACAAACCATGAAATCCTCACTGCTCACAAACCATGAAATCCTTACTGCTCACAAACTATATCCTCACTGCTCACAAACCATGATATCCTCACTGCTCACAAACCATGACATCTCATGCTCACAACCATGACATCCTCACTGCTCACAAACCATGACATCCTCACTGCTCACAAACCATGACATCCTCACTGCTAACAAACCATGAAATCCTTACTGCTCACAAACCATGACATCCTCACTGCTCACAAACCATGACATCCTCACTGCTCACAAACCATGAAATCCTTACTGCTCACAAACCATGACATCCTCACTGCTCACAAACCATGAAATCCTCACTGCTCACAAACCATGAAATCCTTACTGCTCACAAACTATATCCTCACTGCTCACAAACCATGATATCCTCACTGCTCACAAACCATGAAATCCTCACTGCTCACAAACCATGACATCCTCACTGCTCACAAACCATGATATCCTCACTGCTCACAAACCATGACATCCTCACTGCTCACAAACCATGACATCCTCACTGCTCACAAACCATGACATCCTCACTGCTCACAAACCATGACATCCTCACTGCTCACAAACCATGACATCCTCACTGCTCACAAACCATGACATCCTCACTGCCCACAAACCATGACATCCTCACTACTCACAAACCATGACATCCTCACTGCTCACAAACCATACATCCCACTGCTCACAAACCATGACATCCTCACTGCTCACAAACCATGACATCCTCACTGCTCACAAACCATGACATCCTCACTGCAGACTTCAGAGTGCAGGCACTGCTCTTCCTACCTCCAGGACTTAAGTCCAGCTAACTGGATGCCCTGAATCCATGATACCTTACTCAAACTAGCAAAATGTCTATTAAAAACCCCATTTGCTTTCTAATGCACTTCCACAAGTCTGCAGGATGCTCAAGCTCCTAACACTCAAAGCCTCTTTTACCCCCTTCTTTCAACCTTCTATCTCATTTATCTGCATCCTCACAAACTACCCCAACAACCCTCTCAACTCTCTCACTTATATCCAAGGTAACAAACACCGTCTCTTAATTTTTTCAATACATGGGTCATTTCCCACCGAAGCAGGTTGACCTGAAAAAGAAGAAATACTTTCATCATTGTTCACTCCATCACTGTCTTGCTAGAGGTGCACCTACACTAGTTAAAAATTTTCAACATATCTCCACACATCCTTCAGAGTACAGGCACTGTACTTCCTACCACTACACATCCTTCAGAGTACAGGTGCTGTACTTCCCACCACCACACATCCTTCAGAGTACAGGTGCTGTACTTCCTACCACTACACATCCTTCAGAGTACAGGCACTGTACTTCCTACCACTACACATCCTTCAGAGTACAGGTGCTGTACTTCCTACAATACACATCTCAGAGTACAGGTGCTGTACTTCCCACCACCACACATCCTTCAGAGTACAGGCACTGTACTTCCCACCACCACACATCCTTCAGAGTACAGGCACTGTACTTCCCACCACCACACATCTTCAGAGATACAGGGCTGTACTCCCACCACACACATCCTTCAGAGTACAGGTGCTGTACTTCCCACCACCACACATCCTTCAGAGTACAGGTGCTGTACTTCCCACCACCACACATCCTTCAGAGTACAGGCACTGTACTTCCCACCACTACACATCCTTCAGAGTACAGGCACTGTACTTCCCACCACCACACATCCTTCAGAGTACAGGTGCTGTACTTCCCACCACCACACATCCTTCAGAGTACAGGTGCTGTACTTCCCACCACCACACATCCTTCAGAGTACAGGTGCTGTACTTCCCACCACCACACATCCTTCAGAGTACAGTGCTGTACTTCCCACCACCACACATCCTTCAGAGTACAGGTGCTGTACTTCCCACCACCACACATCCTTCAGAGTACAGGTGCTGTACTTCCCACCACCACACATCCTTCAGAGTACAGGCACTGTACTTCCCACCACTACACATCCTTCAGAGTACAGGCACTGTACTTCCCACCACCACACATCCTTCAGAGTACAGGTGCTGTACTTCCCACCACCACACATCCTTCAGAGTACAGGCACTGTACTTTCTACCACTACATATCCTTCAGAGTACAGGCACTGTACTTCCTACCACTATACATCCTTCAGAGTACAGGCACTGTACTTCCTACCACTATACATCCTTCAGAGTACAGGCACTGTACTTCCCACCACCACACATCCTTCAGAGTACAAGTGCTGTACTTCCCACCACCACACATCCTTCAGAGTACAGGCACTGTACTTCCTACCACTATACATCCTTCAGAGTACAGGCACTGTACTTCCCACCACCACACATCCTTCAGAGTACAGGTGCTGTACTTCCCACCACCACACATCCATCAGAGTACAGGTGCTGTACTTCCACCACCACACATCCTTCAGAGTACAGGTGCTGTACTTCCACCACCACACATCATCAGAGTACAGGTGCTGTACTTCCCACCACACACATCCATCAGAGTACAGGTGCTGTACTTCCCACCACCACACATCCATCAGAGTACAGGTGCTGTACTTCCCACCACCACACATCCTTCAGAGTACAGGTGCTGTACTTCCCACCACCACACATCCATCAGAGTACAGGTGCTGTACTTCCCACCACCACACATCCATCAGAGTACAGGTGCTGTACTTCCCACCACCACACATCCTTCAGAGTACAGGCACTGTACTTCTCACCACCACACATCCTTCAGAGTACAGGTGCTGTACTTCCCACCACCACACATCCTTCAGAGTACAGGTGCTGTACTTCCCACCACCACACATCCTTCAGAGTACAGGTGCTGTACTTCCCACCACCACACATCCTTCAGAGTACAGGTGCTGTACTTCCCACCACCACACATCCATCAGAGTACAGGTGCTGTACTTCCCACCACCACACATCCTCAGAGTACAGGTGCTGTACTTCCCACCACCACACATCCATCAGAGTACAGGTGCTGTACTTCCCACCACCACACATCCTTCAGAGTACAGGTGCTGTACTTCCCACCACCACACATCCATCAGAGTACAGGTGCTGTACTTCCCACCACCACACACCTTCAGAGTACAGGTGCTGTACTTCCCACCACCACACATCCATCAGAGTACAGGTGCTGTACTTCCCACCACCACACATCCTTCAGAGTACAGGCACTGTACTTCCCACCACCAGGACTCAAGTGCAGTTAACCAGTATCCCTGAATCCCTTACAAAATATTATACACCTCTCAGGTATTCCTGAAGCAGATACACCATCCACTTCTTCCTCTGCTACTACAACAATTATTAAATCATAATAATGCTTATTTAAAAACTAATAATAATAATAATAATCATTATTTCTACAAGTACATTTTTTTTTCAACAAGTCGGCAGTCTCCCACCGAGGCAGGGTGACCCAAAAAAAGAAAGAAAATCCCCAAAAAGAAAATACTTTCATCATCATTCAACACTTTCACCACACTCACACATTATCACTGTTTTTGCAGAGGTGCTCAGAACACAACAGTTTAGAAGCATATACGTATAAAGATACACAACATATCCCTCCAAACTGCCAATATCCCAAACTCCTCCTTTAAAGTGCAGGCATTGTACTTCCCATTTCCAGGACTCAAGTCCGGCTATATAAAAATAACCGGTTTCCCTGAATCCCTTCACTAAATATACATGATATAACCTATATTTATCTCAGTACCAAAGACAGGCATTCCAAAAATACCATTACAGAGATACTGAAGAAGGAACACAAAGTTACAATACCGTGACTGAAACAGTCACGGAATTGTGACAGCCTGGTCACAGACTGGGCCATGAGGGCGTTGACCCCCAAAGCCCTCTCCAGGTATACACAAATAACCCGCACATAGCAGAGAGGACCTTATGACCACATTTCTGTCCGACCTGGACCAGTAACTAGCTACATGTACTTATTTACTGCTAATCAAATGTTTACCTATTTATTATTAATCAAAAGTTTACTGCACCTATTTCATGTTTGATAATGGAAAGTTTACTGTACCCATTTACTGTTACATAATGGAAAGTTTACTGTACCTATTTACTGTTAGACAATGGAAAGTTTGCTGCACCTATTTAATGTCAGATAATAGAAATTAGGCATAAAAAACAAAAATATAGCCAAATAAATAAAAGTTCCAATGTGCAGAAAATTAAGGTGAAATAATTGGACCCCAGTGTAAGGTTCATAGACTCACCCGAAGCTTGGAGTCCAGGATGGCTGTGCGCTTCCCCCGGCCTAAGAGCTGCGATGTGTTCTCTTTAGTTTCCTCTTCCTCGCCTTCACCATCTTCATCATCGTCCTAATAAATATAAATAAAAAATTTACTTTATACATTTTATAAATTCCGATTCTATTAACCCTTTCAGGGTCGATGTTGTACTAGTACGGCTTGCACGCCAGGGTTGGTGCTGTACTAGTACGCGTAAATTCTAGCACCTTCAAGTCTAGCGAGAGAAAGCTGGTAGGCCTACATATGAAAGAATGGGTCTATGTAGTCAGTGTGCACAGTATAAAAAAAAATCTGCAGTGTGAGACCTTTACCCACTTTGCCTGAGGTATCCCAGCAAGTGAGCACATCACCTATGTTAGCCCAGTGCTTAAATAACAAAAAGGCACAATACCGTGACTGGAACGATACACAAATAACCCGCACATAAAAGACAGAAGCTTACGACGACGTTTCGGTCCGACTTGGACCATTGACAAAGTCACACTAACAGAGGAGGAGCAGGACGGCTATATATAGGCAGGAAGAGGTGGAGGTAGTAGTAGTGGTAGTAGTAGTAGTAGTAGTAGTACAAGAATTGTATATAATACCGACAGGATGAAATGACACATGCACAACACCCGGGCATCCCCACCGTAGACGTTCATACAACTTTCCTTGTATGAACCTTAGAGCTGGCTTCGTCTCTGTAGATGCCTTCCTCTCCCACTACATTGTAAAATGCTCCAAACTTCAGAACACCCGTGACTTAACCTGAATCCTCATTTTTTCTTCTTCTTCTTTTTCTTCTTCCTCTTCCCCTTTCCTCTCTCCTTTTCTCCTCTGGGTTGTCTTTCTCTCTCCTGTCTCGTGTTTCTGTTCCTTCTTTATTTTATTTCACCACTTCCCCTTTCACGCACCTCGGTGCGCTTGCTCTCCCTCTGTGGGTTTCTAGCTCTCTTGCAGTGCTCCCTTCCTTTGTATTTGACTGGCTCGTCTTCCTTATTTCCCACTTCTACCACTACCACTACTACTACCTCTTCTTCTTCTACTACATCTACTGATGAAATTAGACACATGTGCGGCGTCTGGTTGTCTTTGTTGTGGACGTTTCGCCATCCAGTGGCTGGCTGGATGGCGAAACGTCTACGGTGGGGATGCCCGGGTGTTGTGCATGT